CTGGAATGGGATTTTCCAGCCCTGGGATGGGGATCTGGAATTGGATCCAGGGGAAATGTTCCAGCCCCGGGATGGGGATCTGGAATGGGATTTTTCCAGCCCTGGGACGGGGATCTGCCATGCTGCCCTGTCTCCCCAGGATTCCCAGCCCTCTCCCCTGGCCCTGCTGGCAGCCACATGTAGCAAGATCGGTCCCCCTGCCGTGGAAGCCGCCGTGACGCCGCCGGCCCCTCCCCAGCCCACCCCTCGCAAACTGGTGCCCATCAAACCCGCCCCGCTGCCCCTGGGCTCTGCCAAGAACAGCATCGGCATCCTGTCCTCCAAAGGGAACCTCTTCCAGATCCAGGGTTCCCAGGTGGGCACCTCCTACCCCGGGGGGCAGCTGGTTTTTGCCATCCAGAACCCGGCCGTGCTCAACAAAGCCTCTCGCTCTTCGTCGTCGTCCTCCTCTTCTTCCTCCTCCAACATCCAGTACCAGGCGGTGCCACAGCTGCAGCCCGGTGGGGCTCAGACCATCCAGGTGCAGCCCAACCAGATCCAGATCATCCCAGGCACCAACCAGGCCATCCTCACTCCATCTTCCTCCTCCTCCTCCTCCTCATCCTCACACAAACCCGTGCCCATCAAACCGGCCCCGGCTCAGAAAGCGGCGTCGGCGACGAGCGGCGTGGTCAAACTGCCCGGGGGTGGCAACGTCACCTTAACCCTGCCCGTCAACAACCTGGTGAGCCCTGAGGGAGGTGGGCAGAGCCAGCTGGTCACGGACAGCCCCTCAAAACCGGGTAAAAAACCTCGGAAAAAGGCCATGTCCCCCGCCCAGCCGGCCGCAGTGGCCGTGGCGGAGCAGGTGGAGACGGTGCTGATCGAAACGACGGCGGAAAACATCATCCAAGCCGGGAACAACCTGCTGATCGTGCAGAGCCCTGGCTCGGGGCAGCCAGCAGTGGTGCAGCAGGTGCAGGTGGTGCAGCCCAAGCAGGAGTCGCAGGTGGTGCAGATCCCGCAGCAGGCGCTGCGCGTGGTGCAGGCGGCCTCGGCCACGCTGCCCACGGTGCCGCAGAAATCCTCGCAGAACTTCCAGATCCAGGCGGCCGAGCCCACCCCCACACAGGTACAGACCCCCCTGGGAATCTTCTTCTTGTTCCTCCTCTAATCCTCACCCAGATTTTAGGAGCTGGAGGGTTTTGTGGGGTATTCCCAGCTTGGTTTAGGTGTTGGAGGATGGGAGTGCAGGGATTTAGGAGCTCTGCCTGCTTTTATAGGATCTGGAGGAGCTGAAACCTCCCCGGTGCCACGGCAGGGTTGGGATGAGCCAGCCTGCTGGGAAGCTCCTGGGACACAAAGGGAGGTGGGAGAGGGATTGGTGTCTTTGTGTTGCCCTGTGTAAAATCCAGGAGCTTTCTCCTTTCTCCATGAGGCCCACAAAGATCCACGTTTCCTTCCCAGTGAGCGTGGAAGGGGGGTCTGGGATGCATTTCCCACACAAGCTGTGGCTTTCCCTTCCCTGGAAGTCTCCAAGCCTTGGGGCAGCAGAAGGAATCCCGGGAAGTTGAAACAAGATTAAAACCCCTCCTCCCCAAACCATTCCACCATTCCCGGGCTGCGTGGGCGGATCTCATCCCAAAATCCCACCCCTTTCCAGATCTACTTCAAGAGCCCCACCGGCGAGCTGCAGACCGTGCTGCTCCAGGAGGCCTCGTCCATACCCGTGCCCGTGCCTCCATCCTCGGGGACATCGTGTGGCAGCCCCGTGTCCCGCAGCCCCGGCCCCGGGGCCGGCCCCGCCCGCAAACCGGCCCCTCGCAAGGAGAGGCCGCTGCCCAAAATCGCCCCGGCCGGGGGCATCCTGAGCCTGAACGCAGCACAGCTGGCGGCAGCTGCACAGGCCATGCAGACCATCAACATCAACGGCGTCCAGGTGCAGGGGGTGCCCGTCACCATCACCAACACCGGAGGTGGGTGGCGCCCGGCGGGAGTTGGGGATGGGGGTGTGGAAAG